GTATTGAGCGACAGAAGCAGAGAACACACCTTTTCGGTGCAACACACCAACGAATCCAATCTAACCGCGCAGGAACCAGTAAGACCGTCTCTTGAGGGGTTTGTGGCATATACAGAAGAAAAGCGGCAGGCAAACTCAGTGGCACTCGCGGAGTCTGAGGGGATGATATTGCCATCTTGATCTTGTATGTACGGTAGCTCATCAGAGGATTTGAGATTTCTGTTGACATAAGCAAAAATCCTTTTGGGCGTTGTTTTGGCCGATTCGGCGAGAGAGTTTTCATAAGCTTGGCGTTTTCTCAATTTCGTAAAATTGCATGAATTTCGCTGCTGCTTATAAGTTGCATAATCCACGGGATCACGAGACTGCCTATAACAGTTCCACAGTTTTCGGCGGCGTTTGGTCAACGTTACAAGCTCGCGGTCGAACCAGGGTGGGCGACATCGATTTGATTTGCAATGTCGAACAGGCGTATATAGTTCGCATAGCCATGATATTTTGTCTTTAAGAGAAAGCCATCACGTATCAACGGACCCTTCTGTTGGTAGTGTCCAATCCCTCGAATTTGCCGCAATTAATAACGCATCAAAGTCTGTGACTACCTTATAAATACAGTTGTAATAATTTTCCTTTGTCTCCATAAAGGGCTGTGTAGAGCTACCGTGCCTTTTGATATACCATAGTGGGTGGTGCAGGAAGCCAAGGGACCGATACAGAGTTGCAAGTACCGTACATCAAGACACAATAGATATCGTGGTGGTTGCCGGAGATTTGAATGCGTAAGTGGACAGGCTTAGTGCATCTGAGACTCGCTTAGGAGGTCAACATGGATTGGACTCGGTACGTACGGACAGTGGGGAACGATTGCTTCAGCTGTTTGCTGGACGGAGGCTGTTTTTATGCAGTACCAACTTCCGAAATAGCCGAAGTCGTCTGGCTACATGGTGTTCTCCAACGATAGGCCGGCCACAAACTCAAATCTAGCACATTATCATCAGTTGCCGATGGTGCTGATCATTAACTGACTGCCGATCGTTTTGGAACACATTTGTGGACTATGACCACGCGCTCGTCCGGAGTCGCTTAAGCGAAGAAGGAAGAATTCTTCCTACTTTTTCCAGGGCTGCGTAAGCTGCGGACAAACAGCTTAGCAACTGAGAGACTGGCAGATTCGGATTTTGGACGAACTTACCAGAATCGTCTTCTGGAGTCTTCCAAATGCTCCACCATCAGATGTGGACTCATACTAGGATGAGATTGCCACCTCTTTGCACAGTGCTGGGAATTCTGCCTGTGGCACGGCCCAACCAGGCGCACGCAAGTACTGGATATCAGACCGAACGGTAGCGCTGCTTAAATCTCGGAAAAACATCCCAGCCGGTCCCGAACATAACCCGGTGCAAAGAGTTATCAGACGTCAAGTGAAAGTGAGCTTGCGATCCGACCGCGAAGTATGGTGGACACAGAATGCCAAAGAAATGCAAGGGGCCCAGAAAGCCGGTAATGCCCGAAGATTATTTCAGTGCTCCGTGTGACTGGTCCCCGGAAACCACCCGTGCTTGAAACCATCAAGCATCAGAATGGAACGACCATCTTGAATAAAGAGCGCCTTGACCGGTGGGATGAACACTTCGGATAACAACTGTCGTGTCCACCAGCTGGGACTCATCTAGAGCCCACCTGTGAAGTAGAACCCTGGGCGCTGAATGTGGAACCACCTACGGCCTCGGAGTTTTACGACTGCAAGCGCCACCGAGCCTCCGGTCTTGATGACCTCCCACCCGCATTGTTCAGTGATGGGTTGAGGTCCTTTGTCAGCGCTTGTCTGATCTGTTGGCTTGCATTTTGGAAAGGAAGTCTGTCTCAGACATTTGGTGAGAGTGGGTGGTAGTGTCCATTTCCAAAAAAGGGGTTTGTAGTGAGTGTGGTAACCACAGGGGGATCAGCTCGATCTCGGTCGTAACGAGACTGTTGGCGTCACTTGTGCTTCGTCGCCTTATGGTGGCTCGTAAGACGCTGACTCGAGAGCATCAAGTGGACTCCGTCCCGGTATCGGTTACGTTGATTAAATCTCCATACGCCGCCAGGTGCTAGAACAATACCATAAGTATAAGCGACCCACCATTTTAGTATTCCTGGATTTCTGAGGCGCATTCGACTCGATTGACCAGTATGTTATTCTTGACACGCTTGCCTCCCTTACTAAAGGCATAGAACGGACCCATGAGATGCTTTGAACTGCTTATTATAAGAAATTACCTTTTCCATTTCAGCTTCGAACCTGTAGATTTTTTCCAAAAATTGGCAAAACTTTTTCCAGAAAATACAGGCAAGGTAATGGTCGAATTCGGATGGCCGACGCGATACAACGAATTCACCGTGGTCCAGATTTCGATAATCTAGCTCTCCGAGTGCTACCCGTAGACACCGGGCCCAATGTTGTACGACAAGTGGCGAACGCTTGCTTCGCTCGCGTTGTGCCCACACCTGTTGAGTCCCCGTGCTTGGTCGTTGCCTCCCGGGAAGTGTGTCACCTACTGGACCTCCCTGTACCTGACGAAATCGACAAATCCTCCGAACATTACGAAGCCTTTATAAAGCACTTGTCCGGTAATTTGGTTTGGCCGCTCAGTGAACCGGCCGCTCATTGTTATTGTGGTCATCAGTTTGGAACTTTCGCCGGTCAGCTTGGTGATGGAGCAGTAATGTGGGTCTTAGTGTGTACCTTACTTTTTTCTACTTTCGGATCGTGTTGTTTATCTTGTGTTCAAAGAGGACTGTATCTAATTAGCATCTAGCACGTTTGCGCAGACAATTAATGCTGGGTCATCTTAGTACAACCCACCTTTTGTTCTAATTCCAAGCGCCACAAGATGTTACATTGTTGGAACCATGGTTTTTGGATGGGTACACTTCATTTGAGCATGTTTTACACATCGTAAGAAACACCCCCTGATGATTGTCCAGTCTGTTCACAACTTTGTCTTCGGGATCTTTGGGTGAATTAGGTGGGCATTCTGGACATTTTTCAAGGAGACAGTTTCTTTGCTCGGTTAATCGGGGCTACTCTTTAAAACCTATTTTCATGTGATCAAACTGGCCACTTTAAGTGAGTGTGGAGGCATGATTACTTGTTTATGATTCCACCCAAATACGAGGTACAGGAACCTTTCCTTGTTTGGAATTAATCTTACATCTTCGTACCTTAAACTGAAATCCTACGGCTGAGTGGATACAGCACAAAGCTTTGTGTCAACCTAAACAGATTTGCATTGCTTTGGGCGACAGTATTGCTAATGAAGTGATCGCTAACACCCGTCACTTCCCGAAACTTAGATATCCCTGGTGCTGATGTCATATCCAGTCGTTGAATGGCTGGGTTCACAGCTTAACGGTACACCCATTGTTGATTTCAGGTCGTAAAATAAATCGAAAAAAATCGTTCAGCTGTAGCACCCTTCCGGTGCCTAGCTGCCATGTCACCCGAAGGAAGCACGAGGGATGGGATACTGCCAGGTTGCCCAAGCCTAGACAGGGGAAGTCGAGTGGCGGAGGTCGG